CCCTGTCAGCAACCTGGCAGCTCTATTTTGCACCAATTGAAGTGTTCGGACTGTCTTCAGGGGAAGCCCCACGTAAAGCGTGTTACAGAAGTCTAGGCGGGAAGTCACCAGCGCGTGTGTCACCGTCGCCAGGCAGTCGTACTCCAGGTAGGGGCGCAGCTGATTAATCAGCCGAAGCTGAAGGAAGGCGTTCCTTGCTACCGCTGTCACCTGAGCTTCCAAAGAAAGCTCCGGGTAGAGGAGTACTCCTAAGCTGCGGACCTTATCCCTAAGAGGGAGTGTTGCACCATTCAGGACCAGGTCAAATCCACCCTCTCCGAAACCCGATCCGCCAACCAACAGGACCTCCGTCTTGTCTGGGTTGAGTTTCAGTTTATTGGCCCTCATCCATTCCCTTACCTCGGCCAAGCACCGGTTCAGCACAGCCACTGCCTCACCTGGATTAGTGGAGAACGAGAGGTAAAGCTGGGTATCATCAGCGTATTGATGATTCCGCAGCCCACACCTCCTGATGACCTCTCCCAGCGGTTTCATATAGATGTTAAATAGCAGAGGGGATAGAATGGAGCCCTGTGGTACCCCATGGCATAGCTGCCATGACGTAGAGACATGGTCCCCCAGCACTACCTTCTGGAATCGACCGTCGAGATAGGAGCGGAACCACTGCAAAGCAGTGCCTCCAACCCCCAATCCCGCAAGTCTATCCAGAAGGATACCATGGTCGATGGTATCGAAAGCCGCCGAGAGGTCCAGAAGAACCAACAGGGATGTACTCCCCCTGTCCTTCTCCCTGCACAGGTCGTCGTACAGGGCGACCAAGGCAGATTCAGTACTGTACCCGGGTCTGAAGCCGGACTGAAAAGGATCCAGATAATCAGTTTCCTCCAAGAGTGCTTGGAGTTGTCCCGCCACCACTCGCTCCAGCACCTTGCCCAGAAACGGGATGTTGGCCACAGGTCTATAGTTAGTGGCCATCTCTGGATCCAGTGACGCTTTCTTCAGGACCGGTCGTATTACCGCCTCCTTTAAAGGGGCAGGCACTCGACCCTCCCTCAGAGAAGCGTTAACCACTTCCAAGATCCAGGTCCCAATCCCGTGCTTGGAGTTATTTATTAACCAAGACGGGCAAGGATCCAATAGGCAAGTGGTGGGACGTACTCTTCCAAGCACCTTGTCCACATCATTGGGCCGCAATAATTGAAATTCCTCCAGTAATTTTGGACCAGACGGTGGCATTGGCGACTCCTCAGAGACCTCTGATTCATTAGTGGAGTCCAGCTCGTGACGAATCTGAGCGATTTTCTCCCTGAAATGCCTGGCAAAGTCGTCACAGCGGGCCTTTGAGGGTGGCATCGGATCTTCCTTAGGACCCAGGCAAACCAGGCCTTGTACCACTCGAAAAAGCTCCGCCGGACAGCATTGTGAGGAGGCAATGGAAGCAGAAAAAAACTTCTTTTTCGCCGCCTTCACCGCCACAGCATAGGCCCGATAGTGGGCTCTCAAGTGTGTTCGGTCAGATTCATCCTGTGATTTCCTCCACCTACGCTCTAGTTGTCTCCCAACCCGCTTCATCGCCCGCAATTCAGGTGTATACCAAGGGGAAGAGCGGGCTCTGCCCGGTGGGAGAGGACGCTTGGGAGCGATCGTGTCCACAGCCCTGGTCATCTCTCCGTTCCACAGTTCGACCAGAGCCTCGACAGGAGCACCAGTCTTGTCAGCCGGAAACTCCCCCAGGGCCTTCAGGAATCCATTCGGCTTCGGGGGCGGGCCCATACAATCGGGTCCGCACTCTTATAGAGGGAGAGGCCGCTCTCGAACACAAACCTCACCAGGAGGTGATCTGACCATGACAGTGACATGACAGCATTGACTAAGGAGCTAGTGGAAGGTTGATCTCAGTTTTGAAAATGGATGTTGAAGTGATGACATATCATTCAGGCTAACAACAAAGCTTGATTGGTAAATGAACTCATGCTTGAATATCGAATGAATCAAGGAAAAAGGCTAACGAAAGAGCCCGATGCATTTCTTCACACATGACTAATAGACCTCACCACTTTTCCCCATTGATGCCTCCAGGACTCAAGAGCAGGTGTAAGCAAACTGGTAGTCCAACTCATTTGGAGTGTACCACTCCTACTAACATAGCCAGTAGGAGTTATAATCCGAAACATCTGAAGGCAGAGCCAAGGTCACACGTGGTCAGGCATCTCCAGAGGGCCCACATCCTGGCAGGGAGATGCTGGCAAGAGCCCCTGGAGTTGCTCCTCCACTTCACTGTTGCAACCTGCTTTTTCTCGCTCAGCCAATGGCACTGATGAGCAGGAAGGGATGCCATCACCTGCTTGCATTTTAAAAATATAAGCCATAACAGGTGTATGTTGTAACTTTTTATTATATGAGAAGTCAGCAAAGATGGTTAGCTGGGGTGGTTGACAAAGGGGAGCACTGAGAAAAAGATGAGCAAGATCATCATTTTAAATAGATGATATCACCACTGCCTGCCACATTCACAGCTGTTTTTAATTTACTATGGCTTTCTCCCTTTAACTCTTCTCTTGGTGGTTTTGTTATGAAAGGATGCATACAGTGCTATGTCCCAGTCCAAAACCACCCCCTGCCCATCAAAACTCTTTTAACAGAGTTTTGACAGCTAGCTGTCAAAGTTATCAAAATGTCCTATCCCTTTAAAAAGGGGGCTGTGGAAATATATTTGCAGTTTACCAAGCCCCTAGAAACTCAGGATAAATTACAAACTCTGCATCATTATGAGCACAAAAGAGGAAAAGTTAAAAAATGAAGCTTTTGTTACAGCAGAGGTGGAAATTCCCCCAAAACACTCCTTTCTAAGCAAAAGATTCCCTCTTGGGGGGTCACATAACACACCAGCTTACATGTGAACCCAGTCACTGTGGCTTATTAACAAAGCGTATGTCATGTGAACTAGGTCAATGGTGGTGAAAAGGTAAACTAGCTGGAGGAGGAGGCACACAGGGGAAGCCTCATTCAAGGGCTCTTTAAAAGGTAGAGCTGGCACAGCCAGGTTGCTTACTGCTGCTCTGGAAGTTGCTATTCCTTGTGTTACATACATTCTTTATGCTCAAGGAAATTGAATCCTTGAGCATAAAGAAAAGCAGGTAAAGGCTGCAGTCCTATTGCAGTGCCTGTAAGTGCCCAGACTCAATAAAGACTGTGTATCTGTCATCCAATGTACAGTGGAAGGAGTGGAGGAGGCAATTTTCACTTCTTTGTCCTCTTGGCCTGCTTTGTCTGCTAGAGTGGCTTTTTCACTCTGCATGTCATAGAGGAGGGGATAGGTCATACCCAGCTCTTTCCAGTCTTCTTGCCCCCATAAGCCCTTTTTCTTGCTTCCCTGGCCGCAGAGAGCAGCCAGCACAGCTCTTTCTGTGCCTGCTGTGAGGGAGAGGGGTGCAGAGCTCTGAGTTCCAGCTCAGATCTGAGCACTATCACGCACCTTGAATCCAGTGACCTGGATTACCCCTCAGATGTTGTCAGGTGGCCTTAGAATTGTTCTCCCTTTATAGGGTGGCTACAGAATACCTTTAAGGATAGGCAACCTTAAGTGGGATTATCATTTAATTTTCATTTGACCTTACTACAAACATTCACAAACAGATGTGCACATGCATGTCACGTATATTTGCTAACATGGGATAAATGCAAAGAAAATAAGTTGTAATCACTTTTTAGAAGTTTTACCTATCTCTTGTCATGATTTTAATTAGCTCTGTGGGTGCTCCTGTCCTGAAATATGGCCTAGGAATATTTTAAATAAATACAGAAAGACCGGTCGGTGGGTTAGTAGATTCATAGTGGGAAATGGACACTGTGCTAAAGATGATACAATATGACACTGGAAAAGTAAACATAGAGTAGAGCCTTATGAACAGTGTTTTGGACCGAAGTCCCATTTACTGAAGTATAGCTAAATTCCTTCAGGAGGACGGAATTGTTAGGGAAAGTTTCAGCAGCAGGTGCAGAAGCAAAAGCTCAGCTCAATCCATTGTTATTATTACCGTATTTTAGGTTGAAGAGGTTATCTCCCTTGTGAGTGCAACTTTGTGAGTGCCTGCATAGGGTTGGGGAGCAGTGCTCTGGGTCTATACCGATCCTGTAATACTCCACCGTTAATATCCCCGTTTCGTTCATTAGGCTGGGGTGTGCGAAATCTCCACATTTCAAATTGCAGAGCGTGAGATTGAAACTGGTTTATGTTAGCCCTGGAAAGTAGTCCAACCTTACTACCAACCTTGCGATTTTGCGGGGTGCTTTGTGCTGGGATCGTGGGGCGGCGGGGGATGAAGGGCTTGCAGCGGAGGCTTACGACAGTCCTAGGACAGCACTGGCGAAGTTTTGTCTCTACACTTTACACCGATCTTGGACCAACACGCTAACCACCGTTGAACTCAATAGGCTTTACTTCCGAATAAATGTTATCTGCTTCCGACGCATACTTGGTTAGAAAGAAGTACTCTGCTTTGTATCTTACTTACCGGTAAACATGCATAGGGATGAACGTTAACCAAAGCATCTGAAAGCAAGGTGTTGTTACTCTATAATTTGCTATCTCTATGGTCAGTCCTGGCTCCTGGCAACGGATGCTTGGAATACTTGTGGCCTCTCTAGGCATCGGAGGGCCCTCTCTCTGTGCTCTTGAGTCCGGACTGACTGGGGAGGGAAAAGCAGGGTAAGGGTCACTCGGAGCTGCTCAGCGGGCAGAACCTGTCGGTCGATCGGTCGATGTCGCTTCTGCAGCAGCCATGGCAGAACAGCCGAAGCCCTCTCAGGCACCCATTAGCCCGCTGAAGAACTTCTTCGCCGGTGGTTTCGGGGGTGTCTGTTTAGTCTTCGTGGGCCACCCATTGGACACCATCAAGGTGAGGGGGGAAACGGGGGACTACAAGCCCCGACGTGCACCGCGCGCGTCCAACGGTGGATGGATCGTTGAGCTACCATCTCCCGTCGTGCACCTCGTAGGACCCCCCCCCCCCCCAAATGAATGGCTTTTCTGGAGGGAGTTTCAATGGGGGCTCCAAAAAGCCTCAGCTCCGCTCAGGCATCTTATGACGAAAGACCTAAAAGAGTTTAAATGTGTTAAGACAATGGAGTTAAACTTCCTGCATTTGGATCTCTCTCCTTTGTGGTACAATGTCAGAAAAGGCTAGGTAACCTATTGCCCTTCAGACGTTTTAGACTACAATTCCCATTGCACCCAATAGCATAGACCAGAACATATAGAGGACACCAGGTTGAGTAAGGCTGCCGTAGGCTAATGTCAGCATTGCAGCACTGTTGCTTCCTAGCTTGCCTTCTTCTGGCAGCACAGCATAGAAATGTAGCATGAGCTGCTGTTGCAGAAGCTGATACTTCTTGAAGATAATTTAGTGCACCGTCCAGTGTGGCTGCCTGTAATTATCTGAACCTGGGAGGTTACAGGCATTCAGTGAGGGTGGGAGGAGAGGAGAGGCTAGGTTTGCCTGAACATGCACTTACCCTCTAAGACTCGTAGATGCCTCATCTTGGCCATCTTAACTTTTTCCGCTTCTCCAAGATTCCTTGGAAGATAGCAGTGCCTTGCTGCTAGTCTCCCTGATGCTTCCCATGTGGGTCCTGGCCATAGGTTAGAGAAGCCATGACAAACAGTCTCATGCAAACCATGTCACTGTTCGTGGAGCTTTTGTGGGTTATTGAAGCACCATAGAAGCATCACTCTTGAGAAAATTTGCATTGCACACAGAGCATTGCACTGCAGGTCTGTAACTGCAGTTCTGGGCACATCGGGCATCTGGTGAAATTGGTTTGCATCACAGAAACTTTGTCCTTGATTTTCCAAACTGCAGAAGGAAAACAGGATAAACCTTTTGTCTGAAGTGTGATGACCTATAACCCTGGAGAAGCATCAGTTGGAGTGAAGAGAAATTAAACTCAGCAGCAATGTTTGCTGCCAAGCTTTTGGCAAGGGTGTGTGAATTCTCCACAAAAATTTGGTTTTCACTATAGAGTTCATCATCCTAAGAATCCATTTTTTCTTTAAATAAAAAAGCAAGTTCCTAGCCCTTATGGCTGTGGAGATATGTTTGCAGGTAATGCTTGATATGAAGTCAAAGAAGCTCAGGGCAGTGGAGGGGGAAGAATACTAGAGGACTGTGTTCAGTGTAGACTGGGAGGTTCCTAGATTCATATCCTTACTCAGCCATGAAATTCACTAGGTGATAGCTAATCAAATTCTCTCTTCACAGCCCACATTATACTGTTGCTTTGAAGATAAAAAGGGTTGAACCATGCATGCATCTTTGAACCATGCATGCACCCGCCCAGACAGCCTTTCTGGCTAAAGGGGCAGGATATAAATCCAATAAATAAAATAAATTTTAAGCACCCTGGAGGAAAGGCAGTGTATAGATGCATGAAATGCATGACATTAGTAAATGGGATTTTTAGGGTTTACCTTCCTTAACTTGTCTTTCCAGATGTAGAGAACAACCTATTCAAACTTAGCATATGCGTGCAAATTTGTATTTAATTTGCAGAATCAGCTTTTTGTAGCCACGCATTTGAGCTGGCTTTGCAAATTTTTAAAATTTAGCTTTATTTGCAGAGTTATGTTTTCGTGTTCTCTACCATTGGTGACCATTTGTAATATTATGCTCCCAACTCACAGATCTGTTGTGATCTGTATGAAAGCACTTTTAACTGTTTGCAGACACTCCCAGTTGCATCTTTTGTCTTAATTTGATGAGCTGGAAGTTCTTGTTTCTTGCAAAATCAAGGACAATGATCTTTGCCCTTATATGATCCTGTCTGTTAATCATTAGGCCGGAAGATGATTGCATTCTGTTCTCAAAGGGCAGATAAATGAATTTAGAGGACTTGCCTTTTGCATGTTGACTTGATCATGTATATAACAATTAACTGTTGTTTAGAGGAATGGTCAAACTGAAAAGTTCTGCATTGCTCTATTCAAGGCAAAATCAATATTATTGGTACTATTGGAGAATATTGATCACTTGATAGATCAGCAGTAACAGGTGAACTTGGCAATCATTACCTCACCAGATGGATTTCAGAGGTTACTGGCAAGTCCCCAGTCGGACTGGTCACTGCAAAGGTCAAAACATGGCTCTGGATTTCTCCAGTGGACTTTTGCTGTTGTGTTCACATCAACTGACCAATAAAATGTATTGTAAGCCACCTAGGAAGACCTTGGCAGTTATAAGTGACCTATAATTACATGTATAAATAAATAAGTAAACAAACAAATAAATAAAATGTTGTTAATGGTGGTCACACATTTTAACAAATCATATCCTTACAGAAGTTACCAGGAACTGAGAAAAATGTTAATTCCTAAAGCCAGGAGAAGGCACATTTCCATGGATGCTGAAAGCCCTTTAAGTCACCATCTTGGGAGTCCTCAATACCAATCATAAGCCATCGCTTTCAACTCAGTCAAGGACACTATTGGTCCACAGGGTGATGGCAAACCAACAAAATTCTTAATGTAGCCTGATAACCCAACACTCAATGCTAATACTCAGAGTTGGCATCTGACATGATAGGAAGCCTAATGAGAGAAATAGACTTTCGCAGTCCATTCCTGGCAATTGAACCTACATTGGTGAACTGAACTGAACTGAACTGAACACCCAGATAAGCATAGCTTATCCATCTAGGTCTCAGTAATGAATGGGTCCCACATCCAAAATTAATTCTGCTTGCATTCTTCCTCCTCCAGCTATTACCAGATCAGAGTAATGGGAAGTACAGCCCATAGCCTAGGTTTGACAGAGTTGGTTGTTTGATTTCTTGTTCGAGTTTTGTTACTTCTCTGCAGTCTTCTCCAGCTTTGTCATTAAACTGAATGTTTGTCAATAACAATTGCCTCTAGGCCAGAGATGGGCACAGGATAGATCTCCAGCTGTTTTGGACTCAGATTCCCAGAAGCTTCTCCCAGCATGGCCAATGGTCAGGAATGCTGGGAGTTGAAGTCCAAAACTACTTTCTGCCCATCCATGCTCAAGGAAAACATACCGCTGAACTATCCTTCCCACCACCCCATTATGTAACAATCCAGTTCCTCGGGTAAGAGGTGATATCAGAGAGAAAAATGTGAATGATTGTGTGGGGAGAAGTACATGGGGTAGTCACAGCCATTTTCTCAATTTGTTTTGCAGGTTAGGCTACAGACTCAACCAAAACCTTTGCCAGGGCAGTCTCTACTCTACTCTGGGACCTTTGACTGCTTCAGAAAGACTCTTCTGAAAGAGGTATTGTGTCTGCTCAGTTGCAGTGCCTGTCAGATAAGTCATTTTCTCATGTACCTTATTGGAATGAAACCATGTGGGAATAAGTTTCTCACTTGTGACTAAAAAATTCTTTGCTTATCAGTTTGAATGGTTCAAGCTGAAATCTTTGAAAATGAAAACCTTTTTGAGATGAGATCTTGCCCAGCCATACAGGTAATGATTATTGTCTAATTCTTCAGTGGTGCATGTCATTGTAAAGATAAGATATCTTACATTCTAAGGCTGTTAATCATGATACATTATACTTTATAATGCACAAGCCATAGAGAATCTTGGATTCAAGCACTTTCCCCTCCCCTCTGATCCTCCTGCTTGAGAGGAGGCAAACTTGAGACGCTCTTCTACATTTGGTAAATCACAGCTTCCTTTCTTTGTTTGAACCAAGGATTGTGGTTTAACACTGATCACTTTCAAAATAAACCAGCCTCAAACCATGGATTATGAAGCAGTGTAGTTTAAAGTTGGCTTAATTTGAAATGGATCACAGTTATGTTAAACCACAAGCCCTGGTTTAGATGAGATAGGAAGCAGTAGTTTACTAAGTCAAAACTAAATATTTCCAAAGGTGTTTTGACTGTGTCAGAGGGGGTGTATGTGAACCTGAGGCTCACTGTGCCTTGTGAACATCATGATAAACCATGGTTACTGTGATATGTGAAGGTAGCCATTACACTGATCACAAATATAACCTGTGTACAGGTTACACATGATAATCTGTATACATGCACTATGTATACACGTGTTCTTATATGGGTATCTGGATGATACACATTGAAGATAATTTGCCAATTGTATTTTCCCATTGAAGAAAATTTGTTCTCCAAGAAAAACACGTTAGAAGACTAAAATCCTTAGCCTGTTGCTGCATTAATCAAACTTTTTGATTAAGCAATATCTGTTCATCTTAGTTGTTGGCTCTCTTGTCAGGGATAATTGCTTATCAGCCTTTAGACTTTGTATACTTGTAGACTTTGTATGCCTATCAGCCTTTAGACTTTCAGTTCCATATAAGAGAAACAATATTAAAATTATAACAGAATATGTATACACTATTTTATATGTATTGGAATTCAGTGGTTGAACACTATCAGTTGTATGCTCTTTAGCTCTTGCTGGTTGAACTGAGGTAGGAAAACATCCCCCACCTTCGAGGGTTGCATTTCTTCTGGGGAAATCTATCAGAGACCACCTGGGGGTGAGGTAGTGGCTAGATGGGGTACAGCCAACCCATTTCTAACTTGATATTGTAAGCTGCAAAGGAATATGGAGGGATCTTAAAACACTTTGGCTTGAATGGTGTTCAAGGTAGCAAGACGTCTTGGGTTAGCTCTGCTCCTTAGAGGTGGAACATACTTTTTTTAAACTTGATGGCTTGGTTTCTTTTAACACATTTTATAGAAACAGGTCAAAACAGAGTAAGACTCTTTAAGTCTAGTGGGACATTGCTAAGAACATGCAGGATCTCCCCACACGGCTGGTTTTTCCAAGATTTTGCCATGCACCACCAGGTATCAAAAAACAGTGGTGTGAATGTGGATTAATTCATATCAGCCTTAAAACAGGGGTGCAAAACCTCTTTTAGCCTGAAGGCCAAGTTCCATATTGGAGAAGTTCCCAGAGGCCATATTCCAGTGACAAGCCAGGCCAAAGGCAAAGGGGGCAGGCTAAAATATTAAAAAATCCAGCCCCTTTGGCGGCCTGTAACTAAGCAGTGGGACTATCCATTTCACCCTTTCTACCTTTTAGAATGGAGGGAAAGCTGCACAAAAACCAGGAAAGCTCCATAGGGTTTGTGTTTAGTGGAATGAAGTGGGGCCAAGGGATTGGGATATAGCTTGGAGGGCCAGATTGGAACCCCAGGAAGGCCACCTTTGGCCTCCAGGCCTGGAGATCTGCACCTTGCCTTAAACAGACAGCAGACCTGTATCACTGTGTTCTTGGGAGTCATTTAATCCCAGCTTTTCAGAAAGTTAAACAGGGCTGATTTTCTGCAGGAAATACAGTTAATGTCACTTTAAAACTTTGTGACAAGTTTGGTTCTATAGCTAATTCCTTGTTTTCTCAGAATGCTGTTCACTTTAAATATGTATGTATGTAAGTCATTAAGGACACAATCTTGTGTGAGCTTGAACAGAAAAACATTTTAGGCCTTTTTTTCTGTCTAAAATTGCTTAGGATTGCATCAAGAGAGCAATCCTTTTGTCTGTCTGTCGGTGCCCCAGCGAGAATAAGAGAGTTTGGATTCCCCCTTCCAAAATTGGAGCCAGCACTCTGACCTTGGAAGGGGGAGTTGGAGATCTGACATCCTCCCTTGTTCTTTCACAGTGGACATGGAAAGGACCACACCAGCAGCCCTCCGAGGTTGGAAGAGTAATCTTGGAGGAGGAAAGGAGTGGGGAAGACAGGAGAGGCAGGAACATAAGATATTCTGAACTACCCTTTCCCACCTCCTTTTCTACTCCACTGAAGTGCCCTCACAAGATGGGCTGAAAAGCCCACCTAGTGAACTTTGCAGCCTGGGAGGTGGAGGTTGCCTCTGCTATTCTTCCCCTCCAGCTCTGGATGATTGGATGTCTCTTAGTTTTGGTCTTCTGATGACCAAGGGTGCAATCGGTAGGACGGTGCGCTGAGTTTGACATCCTTTGTATCAGTACAAGGCAGCACGTTGTTTAGCACTTTTAGTGAGAAGCAAATAGTTGGAGTACAGAACAGAAGCCCTTTAATTGGTTCCTAGAGTGTGGATGAAATCTCTGTTTCCATTAAGCAAGGTCAGATGCATGTGTGGAATGAGCTGCAGGGAAGAGCATGTTAATTGCACCGAGTGTGTGATCAAAACTGTACATAGCAGACAGATCCAGTGATGATGGGTTTAGTGTGCTCATGCACCTCACAACTTGCGGGTGGTCTGCACTCAAAGGCCGAGGGCCTGTGATCTATAAACAGCACATTCCTTCTGGAATGGGGCCTGAAGCTCCCAGTGATGCCAGTTCACATGAAGCAGCAGGAGGAAGGTGCACAGTGCTGCGTAATCTCTTGAGCCTGCTAGCTTATTGTAGTCACTGGCTCATCACATGCAGTTATGAACTCTGTTCTTGGTGCTAATAACTTTTCGGCTTTCATACCAAATGATTATCCAAATATAACTGTGCAGGTGGTATGCAACCCTCCCCCCCTCCCCCTCCCCCATGAACACACCAAGTTTGAACACTGTGGCAATCAGTGCCATCCTTTTAAACCCTCTGGATGTTGATTGTAATAGTTTCTGGTACAATTTTCACATCAGAGATGCAATATAATATCAAGAATATGTACCCAGTAATACATCACTTTGATCTATGGCAGAGATTCTGTGCAAAATAGTTCATTTCCATGCCTTTTTAATGGCTACAAGGTCTTATTCCTATTTCTAGTTATATTAAATGGAACTTTTACCAGGACCATTGTAGAGGTCATTGTTGTATGCAGCTGTGCCCAAACAGTAGGTAAAGGTTTATTATAAACATTGCATATTGTTTTATTGCGCTTTTAATTCATGGTATTTTATCTATTTGTTTTAATTATAATGTTCAATGCTCTCTGTATTTTATTGCTGTTAGGTTCCTTGAGGACTATTGTAGTCGAAAGGTGGGAAATAAATTTAAATTACTAAATAAGCCCAACAGAACAATTGAGGCACCTTCTAGAGCCTGCTCATGGTGCTGCACAAATGCCCAGCCTGCCCCTGCAGCTCCCACACTTCCTAATCCTTGCCCATGTTGACTAAGAGTTCTGGGAGCTACAGTTCAACACATCTAGAGAGCACCAGATTGGGGAAGGCGGCCCTAACCATCTCGAGTCTTTCTTTGACCTGTGTTTCAAATGCATGGTTGCAGGCAGTCTTTTTCCTTTCCAGAACAGTTTATCAGTTGCTGAAAATACCTTGGATAGCTCCAGCTTCGATGCCCAATAGTGGCATCGCTTCCCCTGTGAACTGATGCAGAAAGTAATCGATAGGCCTGCTGTTTCTTTCAGGGAGTCCGTGGCTTGTATAAGGGGATGGCAGCTCCGATTGTGGGAGTGACCCCTATGTTTGCTGTGTGCTTCTTTGGGTTTGGCTTGGGCAAGAAGCTCCAGCAGAGGACCCCTGATGACGTCCTGACGTGAGTAATGTGTTCTGGAATGTGCTTTCAAGGCTTTCCGGCCTGCTGTGATTTTTTTCCTTTAAATTACACTTTCTGGCACTGCAGCCAAGCGCTTTGTTATTTTTTTCCTTAGTTACCTATATATATATATATATATATATATATATATATATATATATATATCTGCATGCATGTGCGCACTAAAGGAATAAATCTGGCAAATTTCAAGGCTCCTGGAAATGTGGGATTGATTACCCGGCAGCTATAAACAGACACTGTGTGGGCTGTTCCTGCGCAGTTCTCTTCCCAGGCAAAACGTATGTCTATTTAGGGAGGAGGATGTTTCAGATGAGTGTAGTGTGTGTTACATAATAGGAGGCTTGTAACACTTCCTCTTAATAGTGAGCCTGAGCACATGTACCACATTTGTATGCCAAGACAACTGTTCCACAGAGCCTGCATGGGGGTCTTTCCTACCATGTACTATACCAAAAAGTTCCTTAGTTCTCCAAATAGCTAAGGACATCCAAGTCATGCTTATCAGATCATGCTTTTCGGTCTATTAAGACTGCTCAGTTTTCTGCACACTTACTTGACATAAATGGGACTTAATACATAGGATTGGACCACATGGTTCCAATTGTATTCCTAGTTAGTGGGAAGTTAGAAGGAAGTTATTGAAATGGATGGGACTTGTTTTGTTGTAAATAGAAAGGCTGTGATATGGAACACTGTTTACACTGGGTTGTGCCGGAGATGAGGGACAGATTTGAGTAGCTTCATTTTGATTAATGGGGCTCCTGCTGTAACAGGAGCAGGCAGCACACATAGCCCAGCTGCTGAATATCCTGCAGAGCAGCAGCACTGGCAGAAGCAAAAGCTGAAGCAACAACAAATAGACAGCTGCAGTGGTGGCCAAAAGGACCTATTTAGCTACCACTGCATCCTGAATTTCACTGTCAAGATCCTGAAATTCAGTGGCAGGCTGCTGATCTTTTCCTCTTAATATATTTAGAAATTTACTGGTTTGTTGTGTTCTTTTGTGTTGGAAAAGGAAGCATCTTTGAAAAAACAGTTATTGGGCCTGTGGTGAATAGTTTGATAAAGCATTAACTAATGCTGTGTGTAACAAAATTAGAAAAGGGACTGAAAATAAAACTGACAATATTATATTGCTATGATATTTATTGCTCACCTATCTGATCTGATCACCACACCTAAAAATGTTCTTCATCGTGGTCTCTGTGCATCACACATTATGGGGTGCTGCACCTGTGCAGTGCCTGTTGCTGGGAAGATTTAAGAGCTTTAACGGTTTTTGGTGGGGGGAGGTTCCCCCCCCCCCAGTAGTATAAATGGACAGAGTGCCCGCCCTTTCCCCAGTCTGCCTTTGCCATGCCTTGGGCCTTTTTTCTTTGCTTGTCTCCTTGTTTTTTCCAATCATTAATACTATAAATCTGAAACCCCTTTTCCTTTTCTTTAAACTCCTCTATATACCCTAATCCCATTGTTTGCCTACCTTTATTTCTCATTCTTCCCCCTCCCCTTTTCCTTTCCAAATAAAAAAATATATTAAAAAAAACCCCTCTCTCATCCTTACTTCTCCACGCTATCTCTGTTTGCTGTCTTCCTCTTCTCTCCTCTTCTCGGTGGCACAGCGGGCAGCCTTCCATAAGTGCACACCGTGCAGAGCCAAAATGTCCTCACGAGCCTCACGATCTGTGCCTTCTCTGCCTTGGAGAAGGGCACAGGACCGACAAGTGCAGCCACTGCCAGTCGCTCATGAGGCAGGCTGGCAAAAACCGCGAGAACAGGCTGCGCAAAATGTCATGGGACCAAGCTGTGGTCACCATGAAGCAGGTCTCGGCTGAGACCAGCTCTTCCGTGGCGCTGGGACCCCACACCTAAAAATGATATTGTAGGTCTGGGGAGGGTGCAGAAAAGGGTAATCCAAATTATGAAGGAGCTGGAACAATTCCTCTGTGAGGAACAGTGCTAAAGTATGAGACAGTTTAGCTTAGAAAAGTGTTGAACAAGGGAGACATGGCAGAGGTGATGTTGTGAGCATGTCTTGTTGAACTTCAGCCACACTCATGGGAGACTCCCTAGGCTGGTTATGCTGATGATGCAGAGTCTGACAATGAGGACGAGGCTGTTTTTGAAACTGCTGCGACTCCAGCTGTGGTTCAAGGTCCTGGGAACCAGTGGGAGGTGGCAGTGCGGGAAACTAGCCTGAGGGCAGGCAGGGGAATCCAGTCAACCCGGCCATGGGAAGGTTGAGGAGTCACAGGCTGAGGGAGGAGATCTTGAAATAGGAAGCTTATCCAGTGGCTATTAGTTCTCAGGGCTCTGTGTTGCATTACCAAAGCCAGTATGTCTCTGTATTGCAGTTGTTGTGGAATAAGAAAGGGAGCGTGCTGTTACATCCTGTCCTCCATGTAGGTTCCCCGCATGTGGCTGGTTGGCTTACTGAATGAACAGCATGCTAGAACAGGTAGGCCTTGGGCCTTGTCCAGCACAGCTCTCCTTAGAGTATTTAAAAGAGTATTCCTCACTGGGACTGATTTAGTAAGGACTGTTAATTCTTAGTCCATATCTAATGTGGTTTTTAGGAAAATGTTAATGTCTTCTCATCCCTGTGCAGATATCCCCAGCTCTTTGCAGCGGGCATGCTTTCTGGGGTGTTTACCACTGTAATCATGGCTCCAGGAGAGAGGATCAAGTGCCTTCTACAGGTAAGGGAAGCCAGAGGAATCCATCTGTCCTCCCTACCAGGAAGCTTATCTGACTGGTATGCCTTTATATTTCTTTATTCTCCAAATTCACTGTGTCTGTGTCCTCCTTCACCCTTCAGCCAGAGGTTAGCATAACTCTGCAATCTCGTTGATCCAGTTTTCTTGGTGTTTGAGGTGTCTCCTGGTCCTTTTGGATTGGTTAAAATATATTTGTGGGTAAGAGTTTATTTATAGGAGAGAAGGGTTGTGGCTGAAATTGGGGTGCATTGGCAATTAGACGAGCAGGAGAAGAGGATCCAAGGAGATTAAACTTAACCTTTCTAGTGTACTAATTCTGTGCTGAAGCTAGTTAGAACAATGTTCTGCCAAAAGGGCTTAAAGCCCTGTCAGATATGTGCATGGCACACCCTTGTGAATATTGTGTGTGTGCTGGCATCCCATTTGACATTGATACGAAACACTCTTCTTTAAATTTGGTAGGTAGCCTTTCTTAAAGTATTGACTTCCCTCTGGTCTGTGGAATGTGATCAGGGCTTTTGCAACCCTATTTCAGCCTCCTGGTAGCTTTAGGACTTCCCCATTCCTACAATTCTTTGCAGTGAAAGTCTGTATATTCCAACAGACTCTTGGAAGGACAACAGTCAGTGTGCTCTACCTCTGTTTTGGATGTCAAGAAACTTTCCTTGATAACTTCCCTTCCCGTCAGAGTGCTGCAGGGCCCAATCCAGTCTCTCCCATTTCTCTTCTTTCTCAAATAATGCCTTCCCCAAATGGCCAGATTGGCCGAGCATGATGGCTGTTGCAGTCCAACAAATCAGGTAAGCAACCAGTTAGGGAAGGCTGTCTAAAGTTCTCTTTCCCTTGATCAGAGGAGAAAAAGGGAACTTTGCTTCATGCACAAGGGAAGAGGTAGACTCCAGAAATCATCTCTCACCCTTCCAAAGGCCTTGAGTCTCACCACCTTTCCAAAGGCACCCCATCTTCTGCAGCACCCTTATAATTCAGCCTTCATTGAATATCTTCCTTTTGCTGATTCATTGTTTGTTTTCCATATAAATAGCATACCTGTTCATTTTCAAGAACCCCTATAGCTTGAATCCCTCCAGGTTATGTAGCATTTGCAAGGGCTTCCTGGAATAGCTAAGATTGGAAATCTGCCAAGGGAAGCATCAACAGTTGGGTTGGAGGGCAGTACAAGAAGAGCTGCTGGAAGTCTGCTCATTCTGTTTCTTTCATTTTGGTGTATGCTCCTCCATGGGGTGAGATCCTTAGTGAGCCCCATGCCTGTTACAGGTTGCTTCTACAAAGTTCAGTTCCCAGAACCATCCTTCAGCAATTTCAGTTTAGGAAGAACTGGGCCATTTAAGAATTCACACAAGTTATCATTGATAAGAAAAACCATTCTTTCGATCACTTAGATCCAGGCATCCTCAGGTGAAATTAAATACGGGGGCCCCTTGGACTGTGCCAAACAGCTGTATCGTGAAGCTGGCATTCGAGGCGTGTACAAAGGAACGGTGCTCACCCTCATGAGAGGTAATGGCTGGGAAAGTGTTCTTAAAGCATCTGTGTAAAATAAATTATAGTAATAAGGGTGGCACAGAATTGCTCCTTTTGAGTTTTATAATCATAGAGGATACTCTCTTCCTTTCTCCATCCAATGAAGGAATCAATCCCACTTTAGTCTAATTCAGGGCTTAGTGCAGACTTTTGTGTCTTTTTTACAATTCTGCCACCAGTGAACCGGCAGAATGTGCCTTCCCTTCCTTCAGGATTTTGAATTTTAGCTTTGCAACAGTCGCTGCTTGTGCCTGTAATTTCTCTGGGTTTGCTCTGTTTATCTAACCAGATGTTCCAGCTAGCGGAATGTACTTCATGACCTACGAATGGCTGAAAAATATTTTGACGCCTCAAGGGCAGAGGTAAGTAGAGGGTTTGAATTTCCCATGAATACATCTAATCCATCTTTTCTTCTGTAGAGTAAGACCTTCATAGCAATGATAATATTCAATTGTCAAAAAGTAGTATTAGTAGTAGTACTGCTAGCAACAATATTATTTGGCATTCACATAATGCAGCCTTCTGTCCTCCAGAAGTGTTGGACTACAACTTCTGTCATTTCCAGTCATAAGGGGAATGATAGGAGCAGTAGTCTGAATAAGTAGTAGTTTGGAATAAGGATGTATGAATCTGCAGTCACTGAAGTGCTCTGGATTCCATCTTGAAGTTTGTTACAAGTCTGAAGAATGTAAACTGGGTAAATCCTGATGAAAAACAAACCAAAGTAAAATTCTCATACATCCGTAACCTGGGGCACACCCTTCACACATCATATCTGGTCATCTTTGTAACAGCCCTAAGGGGATACATCAGCATATGTACCATGGACCTTTGGTCTGATCCACTGTGGCTTTTCTTATTTTCTTATGGAGCATGAGAAGTTGTGGATCCATGAATAGTAAATATGTGAGGTGGTGTTTTGTCCAGCACCAAAGTTTAGCAAAAGATGTTTTCCCATTTCAAGAAGGGCAGTTGTCTGTCTGTTGACATGGGTTCCTGCTGATCTGGAACAATTTCCATATTGTTCATTGACATTGACATTACTGGCATCGGCGCTGCTGTCAGCTGTGCTTCTGCATTCACATGCCACAGGCTCCAGCAGTGGCTTTTGTGCTGTGAGCACCGCAAAGGAAGAGAGTCCACTGGGAAATAAACTTGACAGTGAAAGGAGATACTCAAAATCTTTCTTTTGATTTTTCCTTGATGGAAAGAGTAGGTGTGATGGTGATGCACCAGTTCCTTGTTCTTTTCTGCTGGTGCAGCATCCACACGCCTGATGCATTTTTGACAGAACAGCAAGGATTGCACCCTGGTCGTTACTCCTATAAGGGAAAACTGGCTGTAATACAATGCCACTTAAAACTTGTGTGAACTGTATGCTATGCAAATTGGATTCCAGTTAGATGCTGGGATTTTATAAAATGCCATTTTTAACTTAGGGTTACAATAGAAAAGTGAAGGGTCTGCTTGAAAGCTGAAATGCCAGTGGAGTTTTGGACAGAGCTTCAAGTGATCCTGAGACCTTCTGGCATTTCCATAGCAGCCTCTATCTCCCACTTGTATTTTTTCTTTCAACTTGTTTGCTTGCTCATTCCATTCCTAGGTCATAAAATAAACAAACACATAATACATACATACATACATAGAAATCCCATAAATGTTGCAAATCTGTTGCTTTTCCTGACACTGCAGTGTGTGGGATATGGATTTTCTTGGTACAGAGGACAGGCTGCTGGGCTGGGAGGTACAAGCTTAGTGCCATTCGACTGTTTTTCTGGCCCCAAGACGTTTTGATCTTCAAAAGTTGTACTGATAAGCATGGAGTGCCTTGTGGCACCTGCAAGACGAACACATTTTTATGGTGAATAAAGGTCCAGTGCATCAGTTATGTGATGGGTTATCTTCTGAATGCAGAGAGAGAGAGAGACAGAGAGGTTGTGAACAGCTGGGTTGAATGCCGGTAAGATGCATTAAGTCTGTGGCAATTCAATCAAGCTTAACATCTGCACAAAAGAAACACAAGGACCATTCACAGCAGCAGCACATGAGAACAGATGCAACCGAATAATGTTTTTCTCTCTTTATCTTTTCACTTTTTCTTTTCCAATGTTTTCTGCAGTGTCAGTGACCTCAGTGTTCCCAGGATTCTCTTTGCAGGTGGTATGGCAGGGATTTTCAACTGGGCTGTTGGTATCCCTCCAGATGTGCTGAAATCACGCTTCCAAACAGGTAACTCAGCTGGTGCTCCAATAAAGCTGATTCTAGGGAGAAGCTTTTTGCTTCCATGTGCAACTCAGCCAGGTTCCATTCCAAGTACTTAATCCTTTCCTATCAGACTGCTTCCCACCAGGGGATAATCTGAAATGAGGCGGAGGGGCTGGATCAGAACAAGGATGTCTCAGTAACAGCAGGCATTTGGTGGGATTGATTGCTTATTTTTCCTTAACACAATTAGAGAAAACATGGAAGTGTAACTAACAATACCCATGGCGTGCCGTTCCATGAGCAGACCTCACGCCCTGCTGCCCTGAAGTCCCGTGATACTCTAAGAAGAACAATGCAAAGCCAAGGATTAGCTTTTCCTTCAAAGATTCCTCTGAGCATCCTTCTTGGGCAAAGGGCCCATGGCAGTCTCTGGTGCTTCATGAGACATTTGCATCTTTCTTTGCTGCGTGTCAGCTATTCTTTCGCGTTGGGTTGCCAGTGCAGAACACGTTCTCATTGTTTTTCTCCTTCTGATAGCCGGTTTTATGGAGCTGGCTCAGGCCTTTCTCAGCCTTCTTACATGAGGCCTAGCAGAAGCATCTTTTAAAACAAACATGGAGCTGTGTGGGGTAGTTGAAGGCTGAGGCTTGTGAACAGCTGCTTTTCTGTTCAGCTGCAGTAGCTATAATTGCCTTCAGGCAAAGAGTTGGGAAGCTTTTGTAAACTGAAAGGGAGGATGGTTCTTTCAGGCCAGAAGTGTTTTATCAAAGTAGAAGGGATGGAGTATCTCTCTCCCTTCCAGGCCTTGGCCCTCCATACTGGTCATGGAGGAAGGGACTTCTCATTCTTCACCCTTAGCACCACATGCCTGGAATTGCTGCTTACCTGTGGGAATCAGACAAGCTATTTATTTTATTTTCATTTATTACATTTCTACACTGCTCAATAGCCAAAGCTCTCTGGGCAGTTTACAAAGGTTAAAGCTTTAAAACTATAGTATCACAATCATAAGCGCATGCTTATGATAGATATACAGAGATGATATGATATATATATCTCTATTTATACACATAAAGACACACATATATATAAAATTCTAAAAAACCATATCTACCAAAAATGGTTAAATATTACTCGTCACAAGCACTTGGACACGTTGAACTGTCCCTTGTATCAAGGTCTTTACAGAGGTTATCATGATGCTCCCACTGCAGACTTGTGAATGTTACTGCCTGCAGCGTTAGCGCACTTGTGATGAGGAGCTGGAACTGTTTTGTTTGCACATTGCTTTGTGAGTTATTATGAGGAGTGGCTTATGGAAGGTTGGAGAGGGATTGTGGGAGTGAGTAGGGGGAGAAGCTGGGCAGTGAAGAGTGGGAAGAGGAATGCAATGTAGCCTCTGGCTCCAGGGCCTTAAGTATCTGCAGCTCACAAGGATGGCTAAGCCATAACCAACTATTTTTGCCTGTCTCCACAGCTCCTCCAGGAAAGTATCCCAATGGTTTCAGAGATGTTTTGCGAGAACTTATTCGAGAGGAGGGAGTGATGTCCCTGTACAAGGGATTCACTGCTGTGATGATCAGGGCCTTTCCTGCCAATGCAGTAAGTGGCTTTTAGTTGAGCACTGAGGGTGGTATAAGAACATAGAACATAAGGAAGCATAGAATACAGAAGATAAAGCATAAGAACATCAGACCAGTGGTCCGTCCAGTTCAGCACTCTGTACACAGTGGCAAAACAGCTGCGCATAGGATCCCTCTGCTTGCCCAATCTCCTTAGCATGCCACCTCCGATAAAAGAGGTAGCACATGGCTAGCCCTGATAACGGCCCTTGAAAGCTTCCAGTCCTCTTTTAAAGCCATCCAAATAGGCATCCCAATTCCTGTGGCAGTGAATTCCATGGCTTAACCATGCAACACTGTGTTGGGTTACTATTAAAGAACACCCAGCTCCTAAAATACAGTAGATTGAGGACCTAATGACACTTCCAGCATTTGAACCAGTGGCATTTATATGCCACCTATAGATGGATTAATGTATAGTCATTTGGTACATCTTTTCTGAAGTGTATGCATAACTTTCTATAGATAGCTTTATCATCATACTCTTTCAGATATGTATGGATGTATATTTCATGTACATCTCTTGTAAATGAGTTACTTTATTTTGTATAAGAAAGCCTTTTAGCCCAATACCAATGGTGTTTGCTGGTTTGATGGGGGCTTTGGGGAAGTAGGCTGCGCCAGCAAGCGTTATTGCTGCTGCAGTGCAGTCATTTGCTTTAGTGCAACTGTGTTCATGTGGCAGTAGTGTTGCACTGGATGCCCTGAGAACTAAAATGTCGAGACAAGTGGAACGTTCAACACAGTTGCTTCTGCAAGAGAGCAGCTCTCTGTAGCTTCTTGCAACAAAGCGAGTCCATCCATCACCAGCCTTGACAAATCAGCCTGTCCAAGCCAAGTCGGTGTATACCACGGGAATCACAGATGTATCTTTCATGCAGGCCAGCTAGGCAAACCATATACTTGTCTAGGGATATTTTGGCTTTATCTTAGCCTTGAAGACATTGTTAGATTTTGCACTAAATTTTTGCAGTGGTTAGGTGACGGGGAAAATATGTTGGATTGCAAAGTAGCTATTTTAGCAAATGCTGCCAGTAGATGTTGCCGATGTACTGTGAATGCAAGCAAGCCAAGCCATACGATGCAGATCGCTGGTTACTAGTCCATCTTCCAGGCCCCCAAATGTGGCCGGCAGAACCTAATCAAGAGCAATACTCAAAATTTATCACAATTTTTGTAGAAAAATATTATTCCTTATTCAGTTGAGATCTGAATTTGAGGATTGTGTACTCCTCTGAGGAAGGATGCCATGTTCACATCACCATGTTACTGTGAGATACAAAGTTCTCAAAAGATTTTTCCAGTAGTCAAGTGCATTTCAAGCAAAGTATGTGATGGGGGCACTTATAAGGTGTAGCACTAAACTCGAAGGATTATAAGAATCCTGTGCACAGTGGGAGGAGTGGTGGAGACAATCTGTGCCTGCCCATATCTCCTATTTGGAGAGCCAGGGTGGTGCAGTGCGTAGCATGTTGGACTGGAGACCCGGGTGACTAGGTGACTTTGGGCCAGTTACTCATTCTCAGACTAACCTGTCCCACAGGGCTCTTGTCGTGAGGATAAAATGGAGCTATGAAAGCTGCCTTGGGTTCCTCACAAGAGGAAAAAAAGGCAACATATAAATGCAATACAACGGCAGCAGCGGCAGCAGCAGAATAGAAATATTTTCTAGACAGCAGTTTAGTGAGGGAAGGGAAAGGGCTGCAGAGACAGAGATATGTTGTAGCCTGGCCTGTACAGTCTCCTCTGCTCCTTGCTCACTAGAATGCCCCTTGACCTCCTTTCCAGTGTCAAGTTTCTGACCTTGGAGAGGCAGCCAATGCAGTTCCTTCTGCACAGGCTTTGAGGATGGGGGCGGGGGGGGGGGACCACAGCTGTGACTCGCACCTCTGAGGTCAGAGCCCTGTCTCTGACCTTGGATCTGGGAATCTAAAGTATCTTACAGCCCTCTAGGTGGTGTCAAGGGGCCACAGGATCACTCTTAATTAGATTTAACTATTATACTCAAACCAACTCAAATATCCAATGAAACAAAAGTTTAAAATTTTATTTAGACATTATTTTATTTGGAATGCTTGTAAATTTGAAGGAATAACATTTCAAGAAGATGCATTTTAAGTCATCTAAACATTAAGAAAAAATGAAGTCACCCAAACTTCATTCATCTTAGTTTAATCATACTAGTGTTAGTATGTCCAAAGAGCCATGCATTTTGTGTTACATGACACAAATCTCAATCTCAAGAGAGATGGTTCTGTGAATTTGTGGAAGGAACTGATATCCAGCAGAGGCTTTTGCTGCAGCTAAAGGAAAGACTATTTTCACAGATTCCTTCCACAGTTGCAGCACCATCTCCAACCGTGTTCTAAAGGGTTCCCCAACTGCCCAGAGAGAAGAGGGCCTCCCCAGCTCTTCCTCCATATCAAGCATCCTATGAGCGATAGTGGACTTGCAGCGATTCTGAAGCCAAGCCAAGATATCCACAGGATGCTTCCTAAGGATCCCTTTAAAATTTAATAACAACTTTGAAAGTGCCCCTTTGAGTAGTATTGTGTCTGATCTTTATACTACACTTTTCATGGAAAGATATAGCAGTGGATCTTGTTTTCTGAATGGTGCTCCACCTGAGCTTGATTTTGTCTTTTCTTCCAGGCCTGTTTCCTTGGCTTTGAAGTTGCCATGAAGTTCCTTAACTGGCTTGTACCAAGTCTGTGAGGAGCAGGACAGAATGTTGTTGGGAGAGATCTAGGAAAAGAGCAAGATTGCAGCTGCCTCAGTGGAGTAAAACAGAATTATGAAATGAACTAAGATATAGAAATGACTAGCTTTTTAATAACCTTTTTTGCCTTACTTGCACCCTCTGGGTGGGACCGTGTTGCCATTTGGAATCTTGAATCACTTTTCTTCCAGCCAAGAGTTCAAGAGGAGTTGAAAATTCATACTTCTGCCTTCTAAACCCCAAATTGCCAGAGCGGTAATGCTACCACTAGAAAATCATCCTGCTATTAAAAGACAACATTATCTGTTCGGGGTATAAAAGAAGAAGATTTTAATTCTCCCTATTTTATTTTAGTAAAGAAGTATCTTTCTGGGGATAGTACCAAAAACCTTTTGAGGGGGTTCTGGGCATAGGTAGAACTGGCCACTGTGCACTTAATTCTCAGGACAGAATTTAGCACGTCATTGCCTGTGTTGATACAAGTCGTTCTGCTTTGATTTACAGAGACTGGGCACCTTCTGCTTCAGGTTCCTGTGCAAGTTCCATTGAAATGAATGGGACTTGTGTGAGAGTGTTTGTGCTCATGTGCAAGTCCCAGTCTTTCAGTAGCACTTACAAGTGACACAATCATGGCAGGGACAGACTGCAAGCCTCCATTTGTTGTCTTCAGGTGTGTGGCCCCGGAGTCAATAGCGTGCCAATGCTGCCTCGAACTAATTCATGTAAACCAGGGATAGGGATGCAGCCCTCCAGATGTTGGTGAACTGCAGCTCCCATCAGCACTGGCTGCCGTGGGCCAACAACATCTGGCATGCCACCTGTTCCCCAGTACGGATGTAAACTGAAATTCAGGCAGCTAGAGAAAAAGGGACAAAAATGAACAGAATCGTGAAGCTTCTCACTACAGGGTGATTGGCTAAGAAATAACTGATAGGTTCCTTGTATTAGAATGTGATATAAACCTCAGCCAGATGAAATACAATGGGGTAATTCTCAGGTTTCTTTGCAAGTCCCGGTATGTTTGACTGACATAGACAGTCAGCACAAAAATGCATTCTAAAATACCATCTTTCTATAAAATCCTACCACATGTGGTGCTTTTCCTGGGCAGCTGGTAAGATCTTTGACAACAACTTCACAAGTACCATGCAACCTCATGGTTCTATTTGGGATGTCGGATTAGGAAATTTTATACCTGAGGTCCCTATACCCATATAATGATGGCTTTAAAGGCAGGTGTTGAATAAAACAACAACCCTTCCTTCCAAAGTTGAAGGTGCATGAAACAGGATAACTAAGACAAGGTGATCCCATTGCCAATGCAGTCCTGGTTCCAGAGGACTTCATTATACATCTTTTTTATGCAGTACATCCCATGAACAGACCAAGAGGTCTAACTATCGATCTGTAAAGATCTCTGAAATGCTTCACTGGATAAAACTATTTTGTTGTTCAGGACCCATTAAAGTTTGCTGATACTCATTTGGCATGTGTCTTAATATTCTTGCTTGTTTTGCTTTTTAGAACAACTGCATCAGCTATAAAAACATCTGTTTCATAAAAGTCAGATAGACGTGGTTTAAAAATTATCTCTGCCATTGTGACAGCCAGAGACTTGCTTTACACTGGGGAGGAGATTGGGAAGCTGAGAGTCTTTCAGATACAAGCCTTATAGGTGGACTTGGTCAAAGTGCTGCAGTGTGAAGCCAGTGTGGCATAGTGGACAGAGTGTTGGGGTGGGGCTTGGGAAATCTGGGTTCTAGTCCCCGCTCAGCCATGAAGATGACTGGGTGGCTTTGGGCCAGCAACAGGCTCTCAGCCTAATCTGCCTCAGAGGGTGGATGTTCTGAGGATCAAATGGAGCGGAGGCAGCCTTGCAAGCCACCTTGGAAGAAAGGCAGCATATGTGCAATATAGTAGTAACAACAACAACCACCATCATAATGAGACACTTGATTATGCGGAAGCATAGACATGAAGCTGCCACTCAGGAGACCCTGAGCATACCCTGTCTTTAATAGGCTGTTACCACTCCCAACCTTGTTTTCAAATTTCTTTCGTACTTTAACAAACCTCAAGCTTCCCCTCAAGTCTGCTGCTACCACCCTTGCACATGGTCAGTTCCATTTCAGCTACATGAGGACTGACACTTTGTGACCTGAGATCACTAGTATTACTCATGGTGACAGACTTTCTAGGGAACCCCAGAAGGCCAATGGCTTTCTCTCAGCATATTGTTTGGTCCTCCTGCTGTGAGAGAATCTATTGTTGAAATATACATTGAGCTTTACTTCCCCTGAGATCAAGAGTCTTCTTCAGGGCAGTTCGGATCCTACTTCAAGCTCATTAACTAGCTGGCTAGCAGTTATTCTCATTTTTTCTTCTTCATCCTATGCACAAAACATTCTGATGTTAAATTAACTCCCTGGAATTAACTCCAGAACTGTTGGGATTGTTGTGAGTAAGTTCTTCAAAGCATTTGTAAAACTCAGCCTCTGCTAGATGACCAAAGATATCAGCCACCCTTTTACTAAGACAAGCACCCAGCTAGAGATTTCCAGAAGCAAGATATGTGATGATAGATGCTTAGAGGTTCCTTAGACTGATTGTGGCTAACAGCAGTCAATATTCCTAACTGGCATGAAACGCTTCAGAATTCATTTACACTAGTGGCCATTTGATCTTTTTGTAGGAGTGAATTCTTTAAATGGATGAAGACATTCTCTTAGAATCACAGAACAGTAGAGTTGAAAGGGGCCAGAAGGCCCTCAGGTCCCGCCCCCTGCTATTGCAGGACACTAAGTTACACCATCCCATTTGAATGCCTGTCCAAGTGCTTTTGGAAAGTACCCAGTGGGGAAGAGCCCAGAACTTCCCCTTTAGCAATCTGATTTTGCAGCCAATTCTGAATCCCGCCCCACCAACCCTAATGAAATTACATTGATCTGGCAGAATTTTTTCTTGAGAAATCCATCTTGGTTTCTAGTAATTACTGCATTGTCTTACGGTGTTTACGGAGTGTTTGTTTTATAGTTTGCTCTAGACTTTTTCCAGGGATTGATGTCAGACAAACTGGTCTATAGTTCCTAGGTTCATATTTTGTTCATAGGGACAACATTAGCCCTTCTCCAGTCATCTGGCACTTCTCCTGTCTTTCATGAATTCTCAAAGATGATAGGTAGTGTTTCTGAGAGTTCTTCCACTAGCTCTTTTATGACTCTGGGATGAAGTTCATCTGGCCCTGGAGACTGGAACTCATTTAGCCCAGTTAGAAGATCCTTGACCATGGGCCTGTCAATCTTGGGCTGCCCCTTCAGCTTGTACTACACTTCATCAGGCGGGTTGTAGTTCTTCTTTTGGGAGAAGACCAAGCTAAAGTAGGAGTTGAGCACTTCTGCCTTTTCTTTGTCATCTGTAATCATTGTTCCATTCATGGTGAGTTAGTTGAACTCCCTTTCTTGTTTATCTGTCTTTTGCTTTGGACATATTTGAAGAAGGCTTTTTTTTTTAGCTCCCCTCACTGGCCTCAGTTCATGGATCACCTCAGCTTCCCTGACATCATTCCTGCAGTTCCTTGCTACTTATATTCTTCCTTTATAGCCTAGCCTTCCTTCCACCTCTTATTCATATCCCTTTTTGTTTTCAGAATATCTCTTAGCTTTTTGTGAAACCACATGAACTTCCTCTGCTGTCTACTGCTCTTTTTCCTTTTTGTCTTGTCTTTTGTCTTTGTCCTGTCTTATCTTGCACCTACCACCAATCAACTTCACTAGTGGCCCAGTTTCTGGGATTATTGGGGAGCTGATTTCTCATGCCTCCTCTCTTCAAAATAAAGCACATTTCTATTAGGTCTTTTTTTCCTAAACTAAAAGGCCTGAAATACTTGTGCTATGACTTTCCTTTCTCTTGATCATTTAAGTCACTCTTATACCCTTTCCAGCTCAGTGATGACAACTTTGAAGTTGGGTAATCAGTACCGTAGACAGTATTCCAAAGGCAGCCATACTACAGATTTATAAAATGCCATTTTTATGTTTGCTCTTTCTCCTTTCTAACATTGAATTTGCTTCCTCCAGTGATGGATGGTTTCAATGAACTTTCCACTGCAGTGCCTGTTAGTTCGGATCCCATTGCTGTGCATATGCTCTTGTTAGGCCAGTTTCCCAAACAGCATGAATTATGGATATGCTGGAAAATAGCATTTGAAATATACAACCAGAAGAGACATGACAATTAGCTAAATGTGCAAAATTTGCTCCTCAATCCAAGAGTTTCCTAAAAACAGACTATATCTAACTGGACTATCTCTCTCTGCAAATACCAAGGAGTTTGCTTTCTATCCCTCACTCAGTTTTTTGCTTAGCTATCACTGTATGCATAAATGAATATTCATAACACATCTGATTGAATTAAATGACACCATCATTACGGTTTTATTTCAACTAAGTTTATTTGTTATATGCCATTATGACAACACAATAGATGCACTTGGGATGTGGGAGGAGGAGAGCAAATCATAAAACCAGCTGTAGCACGTGCTATAAGCTGCCTAATAAGGTTAATAAGCATTTTTTACTAGTACACTCTTTAAAGATAGTTCCACATTTTTGCATACAGTGGCAACTTGATCCTCTTTTTTAAATGTTCAGTAAAAAAGATGGTTTCTTACTTATGTTTTTTCCTCTTTTACTTTGCAGAAATTGGTCTTTCATGTACTTGATGTGGTTTGCAATAATTTTGTCAAAGACATTGGTAAATATACTGGAATTGGAATGATAGTTTTATATCTACCATTGAAAATGCTGGTTTTCCTTAGTATAAAACTAGAGGCTCATGAAAGCAATTCTCAATAGGCAAAGCACAAAATCATACTCAGGTTTTTTAATCTTCATGCTGGTGGAGAAGCCTCAAGAAGAGCCTCCCCACACCCCACCCCCAAGCATAGAGATGAAGGGAAGCTGCACCTGCCTGATTTCAACCTCTCATGCAATTGTTAAACCCAAAATGCCTCTCCGGAACACTCCTAATGCATTTCTGCATGCAAAAGAGCAAGTACTACTTTTGAGAGCAGGGTCCTATTTCATTTTCCATACTGTAATTGTTTTGTTCCTTCAGGCTGATTCGACAAATCAAAATGTGGTAACATCAGCAGCCCTGTTAGCTCAATAGCATGCGTCTGCCAAGACAGAGGGATGCAGCTCCACAGAGCTCTGGGCCTCCACTTGTGCCAAAGGAACAAAAATCCCCTTTATGATTCAGTAGCTGTTAGTAAAAATGTAGAGACTAAACAAAGCAGGCTTAAAAAGTCGGGAATCGAATGGTGCTGCAGTGGCTGAAGTCCTGTTCTTGCCCCCATTAGCGAGCATCGTGCCTTGTGGCAGGCAGCTGTGGGAAGGAGTGATGCCATTTAAGCAGCCCTCAATAATGAGTCTGAGAAAGACCTGGGAGGTCACTTAGGCCACATCCCTGTGGCACTGATATAAATCATTAAAGAGCATGCCGTGCCATCTGGTTCCTTCCAACCAGGTGTCTCTGTGCATTACATCCAGTTTATTTCTTCCCAGGTCATTGAGAATGGTATTGAACATACTCAGCACAAGTAGGTCAGTAAAGCAGATAGACTAGCTTGTGAGGTCTGCTTTCCCCTTAGCATATCACAGCAGTCACCGTTTTGGGGCAATATACTCTCGTTTGTAGTTAAGTTGTTGGGTCCAGACTCTGAGAAGGCTCTGGTAGCTTGGAGAGTCTCCATCAAATGCTGCTTCATGTATAATTGGGCAAGGTGGGGGACAGCAAAGGCACAGACACCCCTACCATTGGAGCAAAAGCAGTGGCCGTTTTCCTGAGTTGGAAAACCCAGTTACTGTTGCTTCCTTTTAGAATACTCTTGAAGGATGGGATTAGCTGGTTTTCACTTTCTTATGAAGAAAAGACACAATTCAGGATGACATGTCTGCTCACCCAGTTGTCACCATAGTAACTGCAAGATCCACAGGGAAGTGGAGACACGTTGCATAGCAACATGATGCTCTTGACTGTGTTTGCTGCTTCATTCTATTGCATACGGGTCCGCTGGGATCTTTGGGTTCTCTATTGGAATGTAGAAAAAGAAGGGAAAGGTTGCATCTATAGTTTCCAGAAAATGCTCCAGTGTACGGTTAAGCACTCTCCAGTCAACTGTTGGTATTGCAGATTTAACTGGCCTAGAGTGGTATCTGCATATCAGCTGCAGTGTTAATTTAAAAATCTAATGAAAGGTATTGCAGTGTCATTTAATTACTAGAAAATGAACTGCTGCTGCTGATAATGTCCATCTGTGACACATACCCTGCTCTCTGACACAACATTAACAACAAGGTGCAAGGTTCAGGGCCTTTCTGGTGGTGACTCCACATGTGTGGAATTTTCCTTCACAACATTGCTTGACATCACACACAGACACATAATTTTGCACTCTTTGAACTGACCTTAACTCCTTTATA